GGTAAGCGACCTTTACTTTGAAATTGCTTGATGTTGAAATGCTGAAACTAGCATGTAAACCAGCTTTTATATTAAATGTATTTATATACACACATGTGCATGTACATGCATGTACGTACACACACACACATTTATGTAGGTATACTTTGCTGATTTCAAGGCATAAAAGGCCAATCCAGCTCTCAAAATACTCCTTATATGGGTGAACTCGGCTCTCGCGTTCTGCTTCCCTCATTGCTTTTGTGTTAATACAGGATTATGAGATGTTAAATTGAAGGTAGAGCTAATGGCACAGACACAGAGGCAGATAGCCTGAGAAAGCTCACCCTTACCAACACCTAAAAGTAGCTTTACTGAGTGTGTCACGTTGTATGTCCTATCGATGTTGGCCTCACAGCATGGCACAAAACTGAAGGTGGAATCAGGGGGTTGGGTTTATAGAAGGGGCATTCCCTGAACACAGGGAAGAGGGAAGCCAAAACGTGCAACCTCTCTCATCTCCAAGGACAGGGGACACTGAGGGAAAGGTCCTGCCCTAAGCATGTAGGTAAGGGTAGTATGTAGGCAGATCTCCTGCTGTGTTATTCTTTTCATTGTAGATTTCCCTTAGTTTGAGATGTGGTTTCAGCCTCTGTTGATGGAAAACTTCCAGAAGAAACGTGTAGGGAACAGAATCAAGCTGGAGTAGCTTGTGCTGCATAGGCCACAGCCAGAGCTGTAGGCTCCAGCATAAGAGTAGGACAGTAACAGTTTTCTACCCAGGGGGAGGAGAAGCTCAGGGGCCAACCAGCTGGGAGTGTGCTTGTGAAAAACTGGTGAGAAGATGGTCCTGAGGCTTTTTTAAACTCCCTACAACCACTAAATCACCAAACCCCTTTAAAAATCAATGTCTGTAACAGGAGCCCTTTGAAATAATTTCGTCCAGCTTTGATGCCCAACATCTCTTGCAGCAGGACCAGCCAATCCTTTGAAAGTGGGATTTCTCATCCCACAGTATTTCAAGCACCATTTCCTACCTTTATAATATAAAACTGGAAGGACCATTCCTCACTCAGTTGGGTTTATTCAGGAGTCTATCTCCAGTCATGTGAGCACAAAGTCCTTCTTTCCAGAATTACAAAAATAAACTGTAAACAAGGGTTTCATTTGTACCTCCCTGCCGTCATCACATTTTCCTTCCCTGCAGCTGTAAGCTTCTGAGGCAGAAGAGGTATTTAATGATCAAACATACTAACTGGCACTGTTTATCCTAGAAGAAAAGCACATCAATAAATAAGAAGTACTTCAGAGTTAAGTGATAATAGACCAGGTGCCACATTTTGCAAGCTAATAACCTGTGGATACGAGGATTATTGCTAAAAAGAACTACATACCCTTTCTGTTATTACTGTCAAAGAGAAGACAGTACCTGGTGTCAATTTACCAGTTGGAATTACACAGGTAACATAAAAAACCACTTCTCTAGTCTGAAAATGGCACTTGACTGCTGCACAGTCATCTACCCAAAGCTCCAATTCCAAATGGTTTGCAGCCTCCAAATGAAAATATTAGACATATATGAAAATATCGTATAATGAAAATACTGTTTATATATAATGATATAAATTATATCATCATATCACATATATAACATATATTTTATATATATATATATATATGAGTAAGGTTAGCACTAAACCTGCCAGCTTACATTTGTCTGTAAGGAGGAGGAAAAGAATAGTAATTGAGTTACTCTTATTTTTCTCAACTTTTGAAACAATTTGTAGTTAAAATTGTTTTAACTTTATTTTAATCTAAAAGCAAGGTGATATTCACAAGGTGAGAGAAAACAGGCACATTTACACCTGAACACACTACACTGCCATCAATGATGATGCATTTTGATTTGAACAGCGATGTTACAAGCTGAATACTGCCCCAGCTAAGATGCTGGGCACTGACTCTCAAGCTGACAGGGATCTCCACACTTGGGCTGAGAGCAGGTCCATGAAACAACTGATCATCTTCTGCCAGCTGCCTACTGGTGTTATTGAGGTTATAAACTGTACTTATATTGAAATTATAAACTGTTTTATTCACAGTATGGATGGAGAAACAGTTAACCACCAGATGGCAGACAGTCCAACTTTAAGAATTTCAAACATTGAAGAGATGCAAACAGCAGCACTGATTAAAAAAACCCTTATCTGTCGCCCATTCATTTTAGAAAAGCAAACTAACATTAATCATGTTTGACCAAGTCCAAAGATGTACTGGATGGCTGCTACCATGGCCCATGCCCCAGGTTACCGCCTACTGCTAGGTTAAGAAGTTCTGTGTTATAACAAGTTTTAATCCTCACATGAATTCTCGGTTAAGAAAAAAACAATGCTTTTTTGGTTCACTAGGACCCTTCCTAGAGAAAGAGTAAATATCTAATCCAACACTTGTTCATTTGCACCTGCACTATTCTATAGGCTGAACCCTACATGGGACATACGATTTCTTACAAATTTCTTACTAATTTCAACATGTTGGTTTTGGATAGTGAAATAAAATTGGTCCTCCGGAGCATTCATGGATAGAAGGAAGGGCAGAAAATTAAAATACTGCCAAGGTATTTCAAAAGTGCTTAATTCACTCTGCTAAAGCTACTTAATCCTTCCTCTAAGAGAGAAAAGCATCATAAGCAATTTCCAAATGGTGGGGTTTCTTTGTAAGCTGTTCATCCAAGCTCAGTACCACGATTTTGTAGATGTGAGTAACATGTTAGATTGTAAATGCTCTGAGGCAGGAAACATTTTTTTTCCCTTGTATCTTAGACGGCTTAGCATGCTGGTACCCTGACAAAGCACTTAATCAAATAATAAAAGGTCTTTATCACAATAAGTAAAGATGCTTTACAGACAGTTTAATAAGCTTTGAGAAGCAAATACTTCCAACAGGAACAAAGTGTGGGCTGGGGGACAACCATGAAGTGAATGGACTCTTAATGAGTGTATTAACTCCCAACAGTCCTAACATTTCATAGGCCCTATGATATAAATGGATGTTGGATAATATAACCTAAGATTTTAAATTTATCTTTACACTTCCACTCATTACCCATTTGAAAATCTGGATTGCTGATAGATTAATTGAAGACCTGTTCCTAGTATTTTTTTAAGTCCAACATATTTTCCTTAATTTTGTACTTGTCATTATTTTGCATTTTTCCCCATTAATATTTGCCATCAAAAAATAAGAAAACAACTGCTTTTCTAAGTTATCTTCTACATGGACTAAGATCACTTGGAGCTGCTGATGCCAAGACCTATTCAAGTTATACTTTTTTCTTTATGTTTTATAAGCTTTATAGGTACTTGCTTCACTGTGCAACTGCAAAATATAAGCCACAAAATTTCTTTGTATTTTACCAAAGTATCTTCCTCAATATGTTTCTGAAATTTAAAACACATAATTTGTCACTGGAGTGTAAGATTAGGTAGGCAAAATGTGTACAATAGACACACTCTAATCTTAACCCATTATCTGATCTGTGTTCCTCTGTTCCAATTTCATTTAACATGTGGCTCATGTGCTGGATATACTGAGAATTACCTTTCATAAACTAGATTCTGCATAATCAAACTATGATATGGCTGGTGATATCACAACAATTTAAAAAGTGCTGTTTTAAAGAAGATTTGCAAAATACCCACATTGTGTTTGTTCACATATATCTGCTATATTAAGACCACAAATTATCAAACCATCAAACCATGTGTTTTGAACATAAAACCAACACAATTAAAGAAACAAACCACTGCAATTTAATAGCAACAATCTCACTTTACAAGATCATAACGATGGAAACTTTGCAAAGGAATCTGAAAAAGAATGTAATTAAAAATGACAGATTTAAGACAACAGAAAGTTTAAAATTAAATAGCACAATAATTCCAGTACGTGGAAATATTAACCAGAATGTTTACTTGATGCAGCATTGTGATTAATAAGTGACACTGTATTACCAGCACTTACTAACATCTGATACTTTTCCTTTAAAATAGTATTTTTCTGTTCAGTGACCTTGCACAGACCAACAATAAGTAACTCAGACCCCAGCACCAGTTCACATGTGGTCAGTAGCAAAATTCCTAAACAGAACAGGAAAGGACCTGGAACGCACATGATGAGTAAACATAAGTACTGCTAGTATGGTGATTTCAATATTCAATGCACTCCACAAGTATTATTTTAGATTTCTTTTACGACACATACCACTTCCGAACATGGATCAAGGCAAAACAGAGGCAATGTGGCTTTGTGGATGGAAAGGAGCACTGGCCTGGGAATGAGGAAATCAGGATTTAGTTCCTGGCTCAAGCCCAGACTCCCAGGTAAGACATTCAGTAAGACAGAAATTACAACACTGGCCTCCTAAGAAAACCTTAAAATCTACTGAAAAAAAAGAGCAATGAATCTGAATCAGGGTTTATTATTAAAAATAAAATAGGAACTATAGAACACTTTCTCTAATCACTTTAGAGATAACATAATAATTAACTTTATTAAGCATGATTGCTGCATACAAATAATTGAATGAAATATGATAAACTGAATATATATGAAGGATTCCACAGGAGTGGAAGTCACATACTTTCCCTTCTTTGAACCCAATTCATGAAGAAGTGAGAAGTGTGCAATATGTGTGAGTACCCGCAGAAATTATCAGAAAGAAAACTGGTCCCACAGGAAGGGCGACTCCATTGAGAATTTTGGTGATACCAGGATTTCATTTCCAAAGTCATCAGTGTGATACTTAAACAAATAGTTAGGTATTTATCAAGATAGGGAGGATGCTTTTCTGAAAAGGGGTTTCAACTTCAGTATTGACTGAAGGTCATGAGAACTGCATAACAAAATGTGTAAGTAACACAAGCATAAATATGCACAGCAAAAGTGAAACCAAAGTATTTTTCTTATTAAATAACATAAAATAATGTGATGACCACCCACAGAGGAAAAAATCCACAAACATATTTTTTGCAGTTTATTTTCAATTATAATTTTTGGATAACCAAGCAGCTCTGTATGGAGAAAGCACAGAAAAGTCATTCTGGCACTTTTGGATAGTACATTTTTTTTTTTTAAAAATTTTTCTAGACACATTCAGTCCACTTGCTCGGTCTATAGTCCATTTTATATGAGCATGATTAGCTCATATGATTCCAGAGGAAACTAACAATATATACAGTCAATGAAACTATCTTCTTGGCTACTCTGGGCCCTTTAAAATGTCTTCTAAGTCTATCCTGGCTAAACAGAATCCACAATATACATGATAGCTACAGAATACACTGTATTGAAATGAGAAATGCTCAGCACAAAATGGGACTCTTGGCATGCAGCTTAAAATAAAAGGTAGAAGTTCAGAAGTTTATAAAATCCCAAATGGGGTCAATTAAAAGGAGTTAGCAAAAGAAGGGACTGTTCATTGTTACTGTAAAAAAGGCACTTTGAGTAAATGGGACCAGAATTGGAGGAATCTTAGTCGACACAAAGTTCAGTTTGGTTTCATAAAAAGGTTTCAATGCTAAGGGATGCTACTCAAGTTTCCTGCAGTTTTACATTAAAATAAATTGCTGAGTAGTTTATAATAAAGGACATAAAATGTTTACAACCAACTCGTAAAATTAAGAAAAGCACAGTATAAGCAAAATATTACTAAAAGCAGCAATGCATAGCCTTTCATTGAGATAATGCACAATTTTGGACACCATGTGTCAAAGTCTTGTTTTTAAGATACTTTCAGTAGCATTATCAACATAAAATTGGCCTACAAAACAAAAGCTTTACCAGCTCCCATTTATAAGGAGATTGAGGTCATAAACCAACCAAAACAATTTGTCAGTATTTTCAACATCCTGGATGACCAATATCAAGTATATGGAATAACAATCACACTCTTTGTTCAGCTATCTCACTGGAGGCAGCTGTTAAATCAGAGGAATGATTTTAATTCTTTTCTAACATTTACACAGTAATGCATTTAAGTTCTTTCAAATGTTGCTCACCACAGTTTGTTTTTCTCTTTTCTCTCCACAACAAAAAAAAAGAAAAAAAAAAAATCAAGCACTTCCACAGAAAGAATATTTGGCAATTTTATACTCCACTGAATGGTGGATTTTCACAATAGCTCACTTTAGATTGAAAGTCATTAGTGGTCTTTCCTCTCGTTTCTGCCAAGGACTCTTCTTATCTTCACCCTGGTCATCCTCCTCATCCTCCTCATCGTCCTCATCCTCTTGAACTGATGTTCCATGTTCAGGACTAGTTAATGGCTCTGGTTTGGTATCCACAGTTCTTGTTTCCTCCTGCAGGCTGGGCAGCTGCACACCACTTCTCTTACTAGTGCCTTCTAGGAGGCATCGTAGAGCATTGTCCTCAGGGCTACAAACTGCTGTTCCACACTCGCTGCCACTTTGGTCCATATCATCCAAGTACACAAGCTGTGTGTAAGCTGTGCTATCTGAAACCTTCCGCTCTCTCTGCTGGTGCTCTTGCACTGGTGGGTGACTCTGTGGCGCAGACAGATGATCTCCTCTTCCCTTTCGGGCAGATTTTGGTTCATTCATGTCAACACCAGAGTCCAAACTGGCATCGTTACTCCCATTCCTACCAGCTCTTTGGAGATCAATGTATGAATGTCTAACATGAGCATTTGAACGTCCATCTAGAGAAACAAACCATGCTCGAGGATGAGGCAATGGCTTTCCACCTCCTAATTCCATCAAAGCCTTTTCTGTAAGAAGCTGCACTTCACTATTCATTTGAGCCAGGGATGCATCATTTAGTGAGGCAGGAATGGAAACAGATTCAGACATGGACGCATTTTGTTGACTCCACTCAGCTGCACCTGCATCTTGCAAATGTTGCTGAGATATTGCTTGTGATGCTAACTGTTGGGGTTGCAGCTGTTGTGGGGGGTGTGGGAAAAGCCGTGCATGAGGGTTAGGAAGCTCAGCCTGAAGTCTTTCTATATCAATTTGCTGGTCAGCTGGGACAACCAGTGGCTGGCTAACAAAAGGGTGTTCTCCTGGCAGTTTCATGTAATGACCTGGAATGACCAATGCAGGCAAAACTTTCCTGTAAACACTGTCATTGACTTGGTCAACAGAATTGCAGCAGATTAACTGACCCGGTCGAGGGAAAGATGTAGGTCTTTCAAGGTGATCAACTGAACGAGACATCATACAATCAGTAGGTCTGCAGTCCAGCAGCTCTTTTTCAGGGGCTGAAGGAGTGGGGTATATTTGTTCCTGAATATTGTATTTACTTCCAGTAGCAATATGGTTCATAGATACTTGAATTTCTCTCTCTTGCTTTTCAAATAAAGGCTGAGACAGCATTGCATTGTAACTTCTCCTGTACTCATCTTTGATAGGGGACTCATAGCCTTCAGCTGTTTCTGTAGATTTTCTTGTCTTTAAAGGAAAACTATCTGCTGATTTGTGGTAGTCTTTTCTTAGAGACCCACTGGGAGTCAGGTCATCCAAGGAAATTCTGCTCTTGTCCTTCTCCTTGTCAGAGAGCAGTTCCTCTCGGGAGCTAAACTCCTGAGAAGTACTGAAGGAGTGTTTGAGCATGGGGGTATGCATATCTGCTTCTCCACTGGGTGATACTATCTCCATGTGGACAGCACTGATTAATTCCTTTGCACCTGAGTTTTCAGTATGTCCATTGCTAGCAACGGACAATGCGCCAGGAAATTCTGACTCACGACGTGAAAATATTAAATTTATATGGGACATTGAGGTTGCTTGATCCTTCTTAGAAGTGTCCAGTGCTGTTGAAAGTTGCAGTTTCTTATGATGCTGACGTGGTCTTAAACATTTTCTTCTATAAAAGCCGGTAATAAAAGAAGTTACACATGTGACTGTTGTACACAGAAACAAGAGCAGCAAGTGTGTCTTAATGGGAGATTTTAAAGTAGTGATTAGTATTAGGGGAATTGAGCTTTTATTACATAACCTAACAATTAAAAGCTTATCCCAGCAGCAAAGACAAAATTAAAGAATAACTAATGTCAATTGGGAAATATCTCAAGCACCAATTACAAATTGGAGCAAATGTCTGGAGGAGGCAAATACAAAATCACTCATTAATATACACTTGCTGCTAAAAGTTTAACAATCATTTTAATGTAAGACTAATAGATCACTTGCAAATGCATGACAGGTACAATGACAGAGATCTTAGACCTATGCCCATGTTTGATAGGAGGTTTTAGAACATCTTACAAGGAAAACACAGGTACAGGTGTGTGTGCTTCATTCAACTACCATCCTACCAAAGGCAGGGATTGTATATGCTGCATGTAACCTGGAACAGAGGAAATCTGATCTGTTTCTTTCCGCTTCAAGTGCTTGCTTGCTTTTTATTTTTTCCCCCGAAGTAAAAATGTTTCAATACAAAAACTTTCATAAGTACAAAAAAGTTTATATTTCCAGCATGAACTAAGTAACCAGGATGGTGAATCTTACCTGCAATAATACAAAAGCAGACACAGCAAGACTAGAAGTATGAGAGCCATCCCTCCTAAAATTGCCAAAAGAAACATTGTGTGATAGCTGGTAATGTCGTGTGTTACAACGGGACCTGGAAGGCCAGAAAAGAGAATTTAGACCTGTAACAACCTGCAAACAGGAAGAGGAACAACACTTAAACAAAGAGACGGACATCTTCCTTTGTTATCAGGGTGCTAAGTGAGCAACGCTGCCACTCATAGCCCTGGTGCCTATTGAGCACACCATCTCTGGAGAAGGGAGCAAGTTGTGGAGAAAGCATGTGTTTTCATGACTGCAAGTCCAAATATATCATTCTGTGGAAAAGCAGTTAGTTTCAATGGGAGCATGCATCAGTGAATGCTGCCTTCCAGGTCCTGATGCTGACACAATGCGCCAAGGCTCTCATCATTGGAGAAAAGCCATCACAGCATCTTCCAGCACTGTAATGCATGTAGCAGCACTGTGGCCAGCAACTTCTCTTTAACAACACTTGTGGTGTTTTGCTTTAAACAGTACATACAGTGCAGTACAAGATTCACTGGGAGATGTGTTGGTGCTCTGAAGTCTAGAACAAGCCAAGCCAAGCCGATCCTCAGTAGCTTTAAAAAACAAGCCACTAGTGAAACAGTGTTGTAACTCCAGGTTTCAATAATGCTTAGTAAATGTTCTAACATACAAAGGCATCTGTTCACAATTATGCATGTGTAACCCTGTAGGTTTGTAAAATCCTTATCATGATTTTGAAATAAAGGCTCAAATTTTGATCTGCAGGCAAGGAAGTACAGCACCAACTGACAGAGTAACATGCATGTACTGTCAAGGACAGCAAACTTGGCCAACAATAAGGTTCTAGATCATGAAGTCTGTATGTGGTTCTTGAGTGGTCTGCAGAGCCGCTGCTAGGAATACAAAGCTCATTTCTGTCTGATTTTTGAGATAAGAAATCAAACAGATTCAATGAGGAGACAAAATAAGCAAAACTACGTTAACCTCATTAAAAATAACATCAAGTATACTGCGTTTGGGAAATCTAAATATTTATATATTCTGTCCTGCCACTACCTTTACATAATTGATTGATACTGTTGCTTCAGGACATTAAGCAAAAAGAAGAGGAGATAAATCATGAAAATGTTGTTCCAATTTGCAGCGAAGTTTTAGGAACCCAGATCTATCCCTCAGAAAGAAGGAAAGGTAAAATACAAGTAGAAATTCTGCCATACAAGTCAAATTGCAAGGACAAATAAGCCTTCTCCTGTTAGAGTTACAGAAACAATTTCATGACTAGTCTAACTTCCTTGCAGTCTGGGACAGAGCTGTACTGGGAAATGTTTGGCACAGAGCAGTTGCTTTTTCTTAAAGTGAAATTATTTTGTAAAATTCCATTAAATTCAATATGATAGCTTATCCAGATCTGCACCTGCTTCTTAGCTCTGTTCAGCAATGGATCAGCTGAATATTCCAGCAGTTTCATTTAACATAACCTTAAAAAAAAGCTTGCATATCATGAAACAACTTAATGGCATATACAAGCAGACTTTAAAAACAGTTCTCATGTTAGAGTTTGTTTTGTTGGTTAGATATAGTTTATTTAGCTTGCACAGCCAAGGCAAGAATGTTTTCATTTCTACTGTATTTGATTTTCATCCAGAAAACTTAATAAAGAAAATCTGTAAGAGGAGGAGTTTTTTTGTTTAATTGACTGGCTCTTTTATACACAGAGGTATCTCTGATTGTTGGTGGCTGAAGAACTATTTCTAAGAAATAGGAAGCCACAGACAGAAAAAAGGAAGAGCAAGCTGCAACACTAATAATCTCCACAGGCAAAGAAGTACACATAATGCCTACATTAAAGTGTATTTTCTACAGTTATGCCAAAAGACTTGCAAATGGCAACCAGTCAGCTCATCTACTAATGCCATTCTGCTAATACACTTCCTAGAACTTCTGCGCTAAGTTACTCATAGTGCAAATTAATCAGTCACCAAGATGATGCAAAGCATGTCAGGGCAAAATGGGCATCTTCAGCATAAAAGGAAAAAAAAAGTTACAATCAATCTATCCCTTAGTAAACATTTAACCCAGGATGATGTTGGTCTTATGTGAATCCATTTCTTTGAGAGTTTCTGCAGAGAAACTTCACAGCATGTATTTTCTGACCTGCTGGAACACCAATATATTGATGTTATAACTACCCTCATTTTCTAGCAATGGCTCCACCAGGCAGTGCTGACATAAATACATCAAAGCAATAACACTTTAAAAAAAGTTTCCCATTGAAATGAGAGATTTTGAGCACAAGGGTTCCCCCCCATAATCCCCAAAATATTTTAGCCCTTTACTTTCAGATTTCTGTTTTCTAATAATCCATTATTGATCAAGCTGTGGCATCTCAGATGAGGTCATTCTGAAAAATATAAACATTATATATGAATAAATAATTACTCAATGCTGTGAGTATCAGTAAGATTCAATTTCATCTTACCTGGGATAGTAGGTGACATAGCTGCAACCCAGTAGCCCAGCTGAGGTGCAATATAAGTCCAAGTCAACTGATTTCCTTCTTGTTGTACAAGGCCCAAACTACTCTTCAGCCATGTCCCTGTAAACGTAAAGGTTGTAGGAACATGTTACAGATATACTTGCACCTTCCTCTGCAAACAAGTGGAAAAGCAAGCAGTAACAAAAGCTATCAATGTGCTGTAGGGGTTGTGTGCATTGCTGTGAAGTGGAAGATCGTGCCTTTTTGTCACTGGCATTTGAGAGCTCCCACAAGCAGTCATCCCTGTGGCCTTCTCAGAAGCTATGTAGAAAAACATTTAAGATTAAATAAAATTAATATATCTTCAGAAAGGATGAATAGAAAACAATTATTGTCATATTAGATTCCCATTTTTCAAAGAAGGATATTCCTGGTGCTGATTATATGTAGGCAGCCCACTATTTCAAGAGACATCCCATCTCCCAGACCACATGTGAGTTTTGTACACCACCCTTCTATCAGCTCTGGCTGTCAACTTCTAGGAGACTGAAGAGAATACTTCATCAAAATGTTGGTTTTCCTATACAGAAAATAGTTTTATGAATATTACCGCCAACAAATGTACAAAGAAGTTGCACCACCACTTTAATTCAGCAACATTAGTCATTCAGAATACGTATACATCCAGGAATACTGTTTGGTAATGGATGATGAGTTTTTTAAAACATGTTTCTCAAAGGAAATGTAATAGATCTTTTAGAATTATCAACTGATCATTTCCAAATAAATAAGATGGACAATTTTAAAGCAATGTGTTCAAATTCACGTAACTCTTAAGTAGTCCAGATTGACAATCTGTACTAGTTGAGAGCTGTTCTACCTTCAGAAGATAAATTTTGTTGCAAGAATTGGGCTACAAAAAACCTTTACAACTGAATCAGCTGTATGCCTTTTTGTAATTCATTAAGACCCCTGATTCTGCAGCTGTAGGAGAAATAAAACCTCACCTGAGCTTCTGATATATTAAATGTACAGTATGCCTCAGACTGCTCCCGTATTTATTCTCTTTGAAAGAAACACAGAATTGCTGGCCTGGACACTGAGAGCAGTCGCTGGGAAGCCACCCCTGGCACCAAGCAGCATTTCCCAAAGCTGCAGTGCTGGCTTCGCGTCTCCAGTGGGTGCCGTAACAGAGGGCATTCACTCACTAAGGAGGTTCTTCACACACTCTGGTGGCCACTACCAGTACAGCTGATCCATGTACAGAGAAGGGAGAAACCCCTCTGCACTTCTCCAGAGCAGCTCTGTATTTCTGTGCAAAGCAGGGACAGAATTTCCCTTTCATCAGACATCACTCAGGACTGAGCACAAGCATTTCTGGGTATCAGTTGTCTGAACACTTAGCAGTGAGTGCAGAACACACAGAAAGGATACTGTTGTTGCTTTGTTTTTCTAATACCACCGACATCCTGATGATTTCCTCTGTGTTCCTCAGATTATCCATGTGTGCAAACCCTGTATATATAAGAATGGCTTTTCTGACCATTTATTTTCTCTTTACTATGGATTTTTCCTATGTCAGTCCACACTTAAAGTCCACCATCTTTGGCTAATAATAAATCCATCTCAATATAGTGAAAGGTTAAGAAAAATACAAGTTTGAGAGGATTTCTAGATTTAGGTGACTATTATTGCCAGACAGTGACTCCGTATTTGCAACAAGTTACGTGTGAAGTTTCTGGGAAAACTAGGAAAAGTAGACTGATTTTCTCCACTAAGACAGCCACTATCCTTCCAATTTTCTACCCATGCAGTTTTGGGGAAGATGCCATCCTAATTGCCCTGAACCACAATAGCCTGTAGGGTCAAAACCTGCTTCTATCTTGTGCCTAAAATACCATTTTGCAAGAAAACTCCTGTAAACTTAAACTTTGTCTTTTCTTTTTCTGCAAGGTTCAGACAATGAGAATATGCACCAACTATTCAAATACGCAACTATGTGAAACAAAACTTTAAAAGAGATATAAAAGTACTGATTAAAAAGTAAAAGAATGGAAAGACCTGGTGATTAATTTATCATGCTTCCTATACTTCTCGTATCGTCTATAAGCCCTTTAAATTCACACAGAAGCAGAACATATACATATGTAATTTAGCAAAGTTCATTCTCCTCATAGACTTTATTTTTATAGTTACGTCCTCAAGCAGAAGCTATTACTGATTCTCTCACTAGGGGGAACTTGTGTCCAGCTTGCCTTATTCACATTACACTGCATTCTAATGAACACAGTCCTCCTAATGCTTCCTTAAAAGCCTTTTGCTCAGTAATACTCTGCTTGCATAATGCAGCAATCAAGAAGCTAACAGAGGCTGCACTCTTATCGCTTCGAGCAGAGCTCAGCTGCCATTCTGCCAAACAAGCAGCAGCTCAGATTGCTCATATTTTAGCAACGAAAGGAATCCCTGTATCTGCAATGGAAGCAAACAATAGAGTCTACTGCACAAGGTCAGTCAGCTTTCATGCTTGTCTTCTGCTCTTTTAGGAAACCCATTTTTGCTAACCACTGGAGATACTCAAGGAAATGTATTGGTTTGTATAACACTAGGGAAAAATGTAATTCCCTCTCTTTGGACAGTTAAGAATTTAAAAACTGTAACAGATATATCTGATATTGGTCATCTTTAAACAAGAGTGATGAAGCTGAAGCTTTTGTTGACCATAGCCTACACATTAGTATGTGATGACAGCTAGAAAATAATTATTTTCTAAATGGCATTGTCCTAAGTTCCTTCATCATGACCACACCAAATGCAGGTTCCTGGGAACACAGGTACCCAATCTCATCAGCTGCCTTTTTTAAAACTTCCCTGGTCCAACACTCTGGTGATAAACTTACCTCTTATACTTCCACCATCTCCTACCAATAGTCTATTAATAAAACAGAGCATGCTCCCACATGGTGGGATGAAGAGAATAAAGAACTCCATCCTTCACAACAGCACTGGAAAACAAGTTTGAGTGGAAACAGTTGAAACACAAATTCCTTTATTGTTTCTTGCATGATCAAATAGCTGAAAGCCAACACAGTATTACTGGAGGGAACTGATGTGCCTTCTGTATTCTGCAAATCCATCAGGGCATTTCCAGGTCTATCTCGTATTTCATCCTTTATAGGTTCTAATATCCTAGTCACTTTTCAACTATCATTAAATACCAAGCAGTGTTCTTGTAACTCTCTACAAGCAATGTCTTGTTGTAATGACTAATGTCAGACCTTCTACCAAGCAGAACCCAATCGCATTGTACTTACTGTCTATGCTCTTAGTGTTTCAAGCTGCCTTGAGTAAGCAAGAGTTCACTGCTGTGCAACCTTGAGAATGAATTCCCTATCCCATCCCAGGTTCTTCCTTACAGTGGGAAACAAGACATTTTCCTGTTCTAAAAACACAGCTAATTACGCTCTGTGCGTTCACATACTTGTTCTCATAAGCAAAGGAGGAGACTGAGGGGCAGTGAGTAAAGAACTTCATACATTTTTCTGTCCTTTCCTATCCACTAGCAAATTGAGTAAGGGCAAGCAAAATTCATTTTTTTCTGTGCAGGCAGGATTACAACTGCATTAGAACTAAGCAGAGGATTTAGGAGGGAAGAGAGGTCTTACCTCCCTGCATGGCTAAGTGTTATGATAATTTGTTATTCTCCAAATATCCTGTAACATCTACTTCCTCTCCCTACCCAAAGTCAGCACAATCAAATAGCTTCACTGCTTTTTAAGTTTTATACATGATGCACAATAATTGTTAAGTAACAAGCAATACAGGGTTCCAAATAAAAAGCAGTACAAGTAATTGGATGTAATGGAACTGATCATTTTTGCTCAAGGCTGATTGTGGAGTTCCAAAGAAAACATGTCAATGCATCTCTGGAGCAGAAACAGCAAGTTCGGTATAGCTTGTAAGCACTGCATGATTTGGGCCAATTTGACATTAATTCTTAAAGAGTGTCTGGTGCTTCACGGAAAACTTCTATATATAGAGACATTCTTGCTTATAGATCATTTTTACATTTCTCTTCCTCTTTTTCCTCTATTACTGCTCAGTGGAGCCAACATGCTGATCCAGGATTCAAGTCAGGGGAGCTGTCTCCTGGCTCAAACTAATGGCAGGAGGAGAACCAAGAAGTTTCTTAACTCTTTCCTCCCCAAAATTGTATTTAATATTACTGACTTTTTGGAATAAATGGTGTCATTTAACAAATTTTCTCTTAAAAAGCTTATGAAACAGTTACCTAGCACTCCTTCGTATATGTAATTTAAAAGCAAGGTACAAGAACTACCATCATTAACATTACAAAGAATATAAAAATGAGAGTACTTTAAAAGAAATACAAATCAAATAGCAATCAGATAAAGAAAGCTGAGCTCCATCTGGCTACAAAAATATCCAAATATCAGAGACAAGCTGAAGAGTTCAGCAGAGCAGGAGAAATAAATTCTTCTAGAGAAAAGCATCTTAATACTTTGCAGTAACTTTGATTCTGATGAACATGCTTATTTATCTTAGGCAGCTTTTAGGACTTGCCTAGAGGCAAGAGGGGGTTATCATGAGTAAATTTAACAGAAAAAAGTTTGCACATTAAATTTCTGTTTCAACACGCATTCAGCACTAAAAACACCTTTTTGTATTTAATTTAGTTTACTTCTAAATCAGATTGAAAAATGGCACTTTTCAGCATGGAGAGTGTCCAGATGGGCAGCTATTGCAGAAAAGCCATTACAGAACAGCTATTCTAGACTACTTCCCTGCACAATCAGGTCACTGCACGTACAGCCAGTCTGCCCAGAAAAGAGATGTCCTATTGTCTTCAAAGACACTGACTATTCAATGTGACAGCTTGCTGGATCCAGGCAGCATGAATGGATCTGCTTTTGTAGTCTAGATGCACAATGCCTCTGAATAAGACATTATTTCCATATTTTAAAGCTAGACCTTATTATTTTAAATTAATCTGTAGCAAAATCCAGGGAATCGTACACCTCTCTGGCTTCCACGTGCGTGACTGTACATGCTGACAATCCCGTGCTGCTTCAGCTCAAGCAAATGGCAAACTTCCTACCGGC